GTGGATTTTTTTCAAGGGGGGGTTAGTATTTTTTTCGTCAGTGGCAACCCATGTGGTAAGTAATCAAAAAATTTCGTAAACCAGCCAAAATGTGTGCCAAACGGTTGTGCAAGCGTTAACACGATCGAACAACGATAGCTAACACATCAAGTTGTCACACATGTTGGATCGTGCAAGACCCGCTAGTCGTATCGTGTACCTTTGAAGAGGGTAACAAAAGCAACTCTGTAGGATGACTCACAGCAGTGCTGCTTGCCTTTTCTGTACGGCGAATTGGGCAAAACCACAAGCGGCCTTTGCCATATTCGGGCAGTATTTAAAAATAATTTCCTCTCGATTTTTATAACTGATGATTAAACACCGTATTAAACATATAACTTAATTCATTATTTCATTGTTTTAATTTAATATGTTTATTTACACTTTTTCCCCCTTTTTGACCTTTTATTCATATGAAACGTTGGCAACACCTTTTTTCACTAGTGATTTTTCTTCGCTTGCAATTTGTGGACGTAATCAAATCAGCTATTGCAAATTTATTGAAAATAAAAAAATAACTTATTTAGTGTGAATTCCAGCGAATATATCATGGGAGATTCGCTGGAGAACGCCGATACCTCTGTGGAGGCGGTGGCAAATGTGACTATTGTCGATTATGGCGCATTTGCTAATTATATACGTAAAGCAGTGACCATCTTGCTGCCTGAAGAAGATGTAGTTCCTCCAGCATTAAATGTTGCACTGGAGGACCAAGATAACCAGGAACGCATAAAGAAGTTTCTTTCGGATCCACAGGTGCAAGCATTGTACATCCAGCGGAATTGCTTAAAAGGTAATTGCAGGCGCAGATATATTAGTCTAACGGCAGTCGCTTTCTACAGTTCATTGGCTAGTGGATACCAACGCCCCAATTTTACAAAATGGCGACCACGGTCTATGGTATCGCCTTACCATTTGTTTCATATACATATATATTTAATAATTTTATTGTAAATTTATACTAAGGAGGTTATCCATGGAGGCATAATACGTGGAATGTTTAACCATCATTGATTCCAGTCGGGTAAAAAATTTGCAAAATCCAATTGGATAAAAATCAATAAACATGTTCCAATTGGATACTGTGTAGTTCGAAGTTTGAGTATGGTGATGTCATTTTGAGCTGAGTCATCGGTGCAAATCTAGTACAGAGTGATCGATAATTCTATTACAACTGGCATTTGCTCTTTTTTTTTGGGTAGCCGGCATTAATGTAAACAAACAACAGCTGGTAATTGTTTACATTCAGTAAATTGGCTGTCATCTTGCAACAGTTGTTTCTTGTTTGTGTGAGGGTCTACAATGGCGGAAGGAAAGGAATTTGTTTGGCCTTGCTGAGTAGCATTGATTTGAAGGTTATTTTTTCGCGATGGGCTTAGTGGGAGCAATACATACATATCGCATAAGTTTTCAAAAGGGGCACAACTCAAAAACATTTAGGCCGATATTTTGCGTAAATCACTTAATGCTAATGCTTTTCTCTTCATGATTATATACCTGTTATAGAGAATTTTAGTTATTTGTACAATGAAATGTTGGCAACCCTGAAAGGAAAAGACGTAAATTTTGTATGCTCTTGCGAAAATTTTGTTAATTTATTAAATAAATTGTTTTTCCGAAAGTATCTTGCTTAAAAACGAGTGTATTAATTGAAGATAAGCACGGGTACAAGGAAGTAATCGATATAATTGGAGAGGAAGGATGGAAGCAAGATGTGACAGGTGCAGAGGCACCATTCGGACAGAAGTGGCGAAAATCCGTTGTCAAGGTGTGTGTGGGAAATATTTCCATCTAACAAACAAATGCGCTGGCGTGGACCAATACAGCATAGATAAATTGAGTGAGGTTCCAATGCTTAGGTTTATGTGCGATGATTGTTTGCAGTACATAAATAACATTGATGACATACTTAAAGTCATGCAAATGGTTGTGAAGCAAAATGGCCAAAAGCTAGCTGAATATAGAAGCGAGTTCGATAATTCTCTGAAAAAAAATGAAGACGAAATTAAGCTAGTACTGAAGGCGGTAGAAACAGCATTTGCTGAAAGAATCAAGGCAATGAAAAAAGCTCAAGAAACATGTGAGAAAAGTGTTAAAGAAGTAAATAAACTCCAAGATATAGCTGATTTTATAAAGCAAAATAGCGAGCAGGTACGTAAGGAGATTGAAAACAACAAAGAAGATAACAAGAAAATGGTTGAAGCAATAACTAAAGTAAATGAGAAAATGTGTGCAGAAATAAAGAAAAATACAAATGTGGATGCCAGAGTTTCATATGCCAACGCAGCAAAAAGTGCCAAATCAAAAAAAGAAGAGTTACCAGAGCTAAGAAATGTTGTTCCTCTAATAATTAAGCCAAGTACCAAACAGGAAGTTGAAAAAA